CTATGGGGTTCCAGTTGATTCTGGGGGGGGTCCAGATCTTCAGGGGGGGGTCTGGAGACCCCACATTTTACCACCCACCCCCTCCCCACCTTTTTCTTCTCCTCCCCCAGTGCGTGGCCTTCGCCTCCCTCTTCTTCATCCTCATCTCCATCACCACCTTCTGCCTGGAGACCCACGAGGCCTTCAGTGACCCAGGGGGAGGTTGGGGGCCCCCCCAAAACCTGGGGTCCAGATCTTCGGGGGGGTCTGGAGACCCCACACCTGGGTCTCCCCATGATTCTATGGGGTTCCAGATCTTCAGGGGGGTCAGGAGCCCCCACACCTTGGTCCCACCATCTCTATGGGGTTCCAGTTCTTGGAAGGGTGGTCTGGAGACCCCACACCTTGGTCCCACCATCTTTATGGGGTTCTAATTGATTCTGGGGGGGTCCAGATCTTCAGGGGGGTCAGGAGCCCCCACACCTTGGTCCCACCATCTCTATGGGGTTCCAGTTCTTGGAAGGGTGGTCTGGAGACCTCACACCTGGGTCTCCCCATGATTCTATGGGGTTCCAGATCTTTGGGGGGCTCTGGACACCTCACACTTGGGTCCCACCATCTTTTGAGGGTCAGGAACTCAGATGTTCGGGTCCCCCCTAACTGTCCCCCCCGTCCTCCTTTCTTCCTTCCCAGTACGTGGCCTTCGCCTCCCTCTTCTTCATCCTCATCTCCATCACCACCTTCTGCCTGGAGACCCACCAGGCCTTCAGTGACCAGGGGGGAGGCTGAGGGCCCCCCCAAACCTGGGGTCCAGATCTTTGGGGGGATCTGGAGACCCCACACCTGGGTCTCCCCATGATTCTATAGGGGTTCCAGGTCTTTGGGGGGGGTCTGAAGACCCCACACCTTGGTCCCACCATCTCTATGGGGTTCCAGTTCTTGGAAGGGTGGTCTGAAGACCCCATACCTGGGTCCCACCATGATTCTATGGGGTTCCAGATCTTCAGGGGGGTCTGGAGCCCCCATACCTTGGTCCCACCATCTCTATGGGGTTCCAGTTCTTGGAAGGGGGTTCTGGAGACCCCACACCTGGGTCTCCCCACGATTCTATGGGGTTCCAGGTCTTTGGGGGGGTCAGGAGCCCCCATACCTTGGTCCCACCATCTCTATGGGGTTCCATTTGATTCTGTGGGGGTCCAGATCTTTGGGTTCTGGATCTGTGGAGCCCCCACACCTGGGTCCACCCCACTTCACCACCCCCCTCTCCCTTTTTTTCTTCCTCCTCCCCAGTACGTGGCCTTCGCCTCCCTCTTCTTCATCCTCATCTCCATCACCACCTTCTGCCTGGAGACCCACGAGGCCTTCAACCGGGTGATCAACAAGACGGAGACGGTGGCCACGGGCAACGGGACGACGGGGACGCAGGTGGCGGTGGAGGTGGAGACGGAGCCCTTCCTCACCTACGTGGAGGGCACGTGCGTGGTGTGGTTCACCTTCGAGTTCCTCATGAGGGTGAGTTTTTGCCCGGACAAACGGGATTTCGTCAAGAGCAGCTTGAACATCATCGACTTCGTGGCCATCTTGCCCTTCTACCTGGAGGTGGGCTTGAGGGGTCTCTCCTCCAAAGCGGCCAAGGACGTTTTGGGGTTCCTGCGGGTGGTCCGCTTCGTCCGCATCCTCCGTATCTTCAAGTTGACGCGGCATTTCGTGGGGTTGAGGGTTTTGGGGCACACCTTGAGGGCCAGCACCAACGAGTTCCTCCTCTTGGTCATCTTCTTGGCTTTGGGTGTTCTCATCTTCGCCACCATGATCTACTACGCCGAACGGATCGGGGCCGACCCCGACGACGTGACGGGGAGCCGTCACACCTACTTCAAGAACATCCCCATCGGTTTCTGGTGGGCGGTGGTGACCATGACCACTTTGGGGTACGGGGACATGTACCCCATGACCTGGTCGGGGATGTTGGTGGGGGCTCTCTGCGCCCTGGCGGGGGTCCTCACCATCGCCATGCCCGTCCCCGTCATCGTCAACAACTTCGGCATGTACTACTCCTTGGCCATGGCCAAGCAGAAGCTCCCCAAGAAGAAGAACAAACACATCCCCCGACCCCCCCAACCCGGCTCCCCA